AAAAAAAAAAAAAAAATATATATATATATATATAGAGAGAGAGAGAGAGAGAGAGAGAGAGATTGCTATGAGTTAGGCTGACACCAGGGCACTCTAGTCTGGGGCAAGAGAGACTGTCAAAATATAAAATAAAGTAAAACTAAATTAAGATTAAAATTAAAGGATGGCCTTGGTGGCTCATGCCTATAATCCTGACACTATGGGAGGCCAAGGCAGGTGGATAACCTGAGCTCAGGAGTTTGAGACCATTCTGAACAAGAGCAAGACCCCATCTCTATTAAAAATAGAAAAAAGTGGCTTGGTGCCTGTGACTCAAGTGGCTAAGGCACCAGCCACATGCACCTAAGATGGCGGGTTCAAATCCAGCCCGGGCCCGCTAAACAACAATGATGGCTGCAACCAAAAAATAGCCGGGCATTGTGGTGGGCGCCTGTGGTCCCAGCAACTTGGGAGGCGGAGGCAGGAGACTCGCTTCAGCCCAAGAGTTGGAGGTTGCTGTGAACTATACCACAGCACTCTACCCAGGGGGACAGCTTGAGGCTCTGTCTCAAAAAAAAAAAAAAAATAGAAAAAAGTAGTTGGGTGTTGTGGCGGGCACCCGTAGACCCCGCTACTTAGGAGGCTGAGGCAAGAGGATCACTTGAACCTAGAAGTTTGAGGTTGCTGTGAGCTATGACGCTATGGCACTCTACCCAGGATGAGAGAGTGAGACTCTGTCTCAAAAAAAATAAAAAATTAAAAGTAACAATTTCTTATGGGAAAAATACACTGGGTGGAATTAGAATTAAATATTTCAGAAGAAAAGAACAGTAAACTCGAAGGCGTATATATAACTATCCAAAATAAAGAGTAGAGAGAATTTTTTGAGTGAAATTTAGAAAAAGAAAGAAAAAGGTATCAGTGAGCATTGAGACAATTTTAAATGGCCTAATATACAGGTATTTGGAGTCCCCAAAGGAATAGTAAGAGGGGGATGAATTTGCTCTCGCTGCCTGACTAAGCTGGGGTATCATAGTCTCCTACACTTAGGCTGAGACTTACACCATCAGCTTCTCTGGTTCTTAGGCCCTCAGTATTGGGCTGAACTATACTACCAGCTTTCCTGATATCCAGCTTGTGCACAGAGGAATAGACATCATAATCATCATGTTAGCTAATTCCTCACGATAAATCTTTCTCTTTATAGATAGATAGATTTTACTGGTTTTGTTTCTGTAGAGAGCCCTGGCTAATAAAAAGGTACATTATAATCAAATTGCTAAAAATTAGTAATAAAGAGAAAACTCTTAAAAATAGCCAGGTTAAAAAGACATCTCATATATACATAGGTAAGTGGTGTTATCGTTTACTGTCACATGCCTTAACCATCCAGGTCCCCTTTGGTGTTATCATTACTAACTGTCACATGCCTTAACCATCCAGGTCCCC